CGACGCGACAAAATGGGTGTCCTCCCCGGGCAAAATCGACGTTCCGGACGCGTTGGCGCAGTCCGTTTCGTCATCCGGGGTCGCTCGGACGACGTCGTCGACAATCGGGTCAAAACGCGCCGAAATTTAAATTTTACAAAATTTTGACCCGCGATCGATTGTCCCAAAAAGTTGAATTGAGCGTTCGACAAGTAACAATGCAGACAATGCGAATTGCGACGATCGGACGTATCGACTCTCCGAATTGCGAAGCTTGTGCGTGCGGGAGTGCGAATTGTGCAAAAGGCCACCCTAAGGCTCAAAAGGTCCTATAGGGATCCCTTTTGGGTTCCTCATGTTGGTTTCATCCTTCTAAGTGTTAGAAGTCGATACCACACACGCGAAACCACAAAAGAGTGCAGAAGCGGGTTGAATTTCTAGAACAAGGCGGGTCCCATTTCTAAGGTTCTAAGATAGTCAAAAAGAGTCCCTAAGGCTAGATCCTAAATCCTAAGAGAAAGATTAGACCTCACTAAAAATGAGGTCAACACTCCTGGGCTACCAATTACAAGAGTTGCCAATACCCTGCAAACTTTGTCACCAGCTGGTCTTGGATATCCGATGGAAATGGAAACCGTAGCAAGTAAGAAAATGGGGAAGAGAAAATACAACACAAGAACCAAGAACACGAGAGAATTTCGTGGTTCGATCCATAAAACCTACATCCACAAGGGATGAATCAACAATCGAATCCACTAAGGCAATAAAGAAAATTTACATAGCTTTTACCTTGCCATGATCTCTCTCTCTCAAATCACCTTGATACAATATCTCTAAAATTCTTTACTCTCTACAAGCTATCCTCTTCTTTCTCTAACAAACTGATTTTCTTTCCTTCCCCCTTCCCTACAAAAGTGTCTTATTATTTATAGCTAATGAGTCTTGCACAAGTAGACCCAATTTATCTATGGAAGCTTCCATAATTCTTTAACAACTTTCATAGAATTACAAATATGCCCCTTGTCTTAGTCTAGTAATCGCGAGTGATTATAACAATTCTCCACCTTGACTCTTAATTACAAAATTTTGAATTGAGATTCCCTCCACCTAGCCCTGATGGGCCCTGTCCAGGATGTCATTCTTCTCTTTCTTGTCCATCTCAGTTGATTCATCTCAGTCGACAGTGGGACAATCAGAATAAAAATGTTCGATGGAGCTGAACGAATACTGCAACATGTCAGGTACATTTCTGAACTCAAAAGAAAGCTGATTTCTTTAGGTACGCTGGAGTCAAGTGGATACTCGTTCAAGGTAGAAAATGGTTGTATCAGAGTAGTTAAAAGGTTATCTCATCGTCATGAAAAAAGTAAAAAAAAATGGGCTTTACTCCCTAGTTGGAAGAAGTGTGATTGGTAACTTCTCTAATACAGTTAAATCAGAACCCGACAGGACTAAACTATGGCATATGAGACTGAGGCACGTAAGTGAAAGTGGCTTACAAGAACTGTCTAAACAGAACTTGTTGTGTGGAGATCGAGTAAGTAAACTAGAGTTTTGCGAACAATGTGTGTTAAGGAAGGCTACCAAAGTAAAGTTTTCTACCGGCATTCACGACTACACAAGGAAGGTATGGGTCTTCATTCTAAAAACAAAAGATGAAGCTTTTCAATTGTTCAAAGACTCGTTAACTCTCACTAAAAACAGATGGAAACAAATTTGAAGCACAACACGATGTTTGACTGCACAGTTCTTAGTTTTCTTCAGGTGTTAAGCGGTCATATTTTCTTCAACAATTGGTACCGTCTGTGGGAAATTCTAGCCACGACAATGGGATCTACTAAGTTCGACATCAAGAAATTTATCGGAAAGAACGATTTCAGCTTGTGGAGAGTCAATATGAGAGCCTTGTAGGTGCAACAAGATGTCGCGGAAGCATTGTAAGGACAAGCGGCATTGCCGACCGAAATGTCCGATAGGGAGAAGAACAACATCTTGGACCAATTTCACAGCGTGATAATCTTTGCAATTGGAAGTAAAGGTGAAGATTTGTTATGGTGACTCTCAATTATGTGAACTAAGACAAAATTGTGTTTATAAAGAGGTTTAAATAGCTAATGGGTACAACGGTCATTTGGCTATTTAAAGGTGTTTAACCGGTCATGTTGTATCAGTCATTGGTCTATATATATGTAATGATGTATATGAGTTAAAAGGGTTAAGGGAGAGAAATTCTGAAAGCAAGGCTTGAAATTAAGAAAGCCTCTATCGAGATCAAGATCGATAGAGGGTTTGGAATCAAGAAAGCTTGAATCGAGATCAAGATTGATAGAGAACTTGAGGAAATTGGTTCGTCGTTGATTTTGTGCGGAGTAAATTTCAAGATTTTCTAAGTGAATTATTTCTTGATTCCCTCCCGTGGATGTAGGTCCTATGGACCGAATCACGTAAATTCTAGGTGTTCTTGTTTGCATTCTTCTTTGAGTTTTTTCTTCTTTTTCCCGTTTCCGCCTTGTTGTCCTGCGGCTTTCTCTTATTGTCATGCAGCAGATTTTGCTACACAAATCAATTATTATTAAAAAATAAATTTAGCCAAAATTAGGAAAATTCTAGTTTGCAAACCAACGAATATTTATTGTATTAGAAGATTTACATGAATACCACTAAAATCTTATGAAGTTACATATCTTACACCTAAACTTCAAGTTTTACATATATGTCAACTTACATATGCTTGATATCACTTCTTAAAAGTTACAATAGTGGTTTTTTTTACGTTATCTGAAAGATTGGGGTGGTATTAATATAAAAAAAAAAGGTATTAGTTATGTAAATACATAGGAATTGATCAGCGGTACGTGTCTAAATAGCATGATGCATAACCATGTGAATACGGGCAAAAGCCTCGTTGACTCTACTGCTACTTAGAAAATTTTGTCATACTTTACTCACGTGTTAAAATACCAGTAGACGTAGTTAGGCTTCTCACAGTTTGGTCAGTTCCTTAACCTAGACAGTTCCTGCACTGCAAGTTTCAACTATTGCAACATGAACGCATTTTTTATACTAATTTTAAAAAAATTAACACTGCTTCTTCGTGCTCGAACACATAAGCAGACAAGTTGGAAATAAATTGATAAAGCCATGGCCGAGTTTTCTTCTACATCCTCGTGACGTCAAAATTACATTGGGAAGGGGGAACCACCGCAATAGTGAAGAAATAAAGATTTCTAAGAATCTACATATATATGCAATTCAGCCATCATTCAAACCCACTGTTCAATACTTTCAAAAACAACTACAAAATCAGAAGCATCCGATAAACTCAGAGAACACCATTCACCGGCACAAAAAACAAAATCACTAGAAACATAAGCCAACAAAGAAACAGAATCCAAATATAACCAACAGATAACATCATTACTACATTACCAGCCACAACAGAGATCCGCATGTCCCTGTACCTCTCCACGAACAACTCCACGGTATCCCTAAAAGCTTTGGGATCGAGCAGCAGCGTCGTGATATCTTGAAACATAACACCTACGCCAACCCAACCCCCGAATCAAAACCAAAAATATAGGGCATTTCGTTTCCATCATCCATTCAAGAGATCCAACCCCCACAAACCCCAAAAAAAAAAAAAAAACAAATCACAGAGAAAAGAAAGGATTACCATCCTTGGGGAAGTTGGGAATGATGCGGATCGAAGACGCAATCCTCTTGATCCGAGTATCCTGATCTATAGACGCCATCAAAGCTATTTGCCGGTTAGTGCGTTAGCAATGGAGAGGATTGAACTGAGAAAAATCTGGAAAGGAAGATATGAGTGGGCGAGAAACTCAGATTTGAAAATCACGGATATATTTTGAAAAAGATGGCGAGGAGGCCGATAAATATCGTCAACTTCAATTTTGGCTGCTTTACCCCCCGCACCCATCTTTAGCTTTTAAAAAGGTATAACATGCGGATGCCCGCGGATATTATTCCATGCGGGACAGTTAATGTGCGTTTCGGGGGAGGATGATTCCGACGTGGTGCCAACATGGAGGGTCGTATAGGGAGCGGGGTGCGGTGAATCGTATGCAAGAGGACTTTCGGAGCTCCACGTAGATACCAGTGTGTGCGGACACTTTAATAAATTGCGTGCCGATTGACCCTTCGAAATTATTACGGACTCAGATTTGCTGAATATCTTCATGCGGCCTTAATAGAAAAAAAAAATTGTTTTTTTTATTTCAATAATATATTGAGGTGTTATTGTGTGTTATTAATATATTATTATGTTATTAAAATACTAAAAATATTCTCATAATATAATAATACATGAATATCACTACATTAACACCTGAATAATGTGGAATAACACGGGGGAAATATTCGCTTGTGCTAAAACAAATTTTTTTTTATTTTTCTGTCATCTCTATGTGGCGTGATTTTATTAGATTCCGGATGTATCTCTACGATCTTGTGAAATTATACAAGGAGAAATTGTTATTTTAAAGTGTTAAAAAATCCTGATTAAACTAAAATAATCTTAAGAATTTGTGTCATAATATATGTTTTAATATTTTTTATAATTTTTAAATTAAATTAAATCTAAATAAAATTTAAATTAGTGCATAATATAAAATTTTTTTAAAAAATCAAATGAGTGCTAAACAATATTAACTTTTTATGAGATATTTTAATATAAATGCGTGATATGCAAGCCATAATATTTCGGTTGATGGCTTAAGTAATGTGTATCAGGTTTTGCACATGCGATATGCATGTGTCACTTAAATTCGCTGAAATTCCTAATAAAAAAATATGTATCACCTTAAAAATAGTTTCAAAATTTTCTTTGAATATTATGGTGTTCTTGTTAATTCGAGGTGGTAGAGTGATTAATTAACGTATTAACATTGTGCATAACCTGACACAGACTCAAATAATATAAATGGTGCAAAAACACTAGAAATTTCTTACGAGGAAAACTTGAAAAGAGGAAAAACAATGTTCTGACCTAGTTGAAGAGATCAACTAAAAATTAGTGATTATAGATATATCATCTTGACCCACAGATCGGAAAAGCTTACGCAGTCTCCCGAGTTACAATATTAGTGTGCAGGTGAACTTATTGTGAGTGATTGTAATGAAGACTAATGATCAAGGTTTTAATGTACCGTCTTCAGGGTCGACTTGGCGCCTGGGATGATGTGTCTCTTCGTAGGTTACTTCGTCGCTTTGCGACGTCGGTTGTTGTCTTGCATGATGCTTCATTGCAAGAAAAAGACAACGACTGATGGTGATGGATAGTGGCCAATGAGTGGTGGCCGGTCGAAGGTAGTTGGTGGCGTAGTTGGTGGCGATTGACAGTTGCAGGAGCAGAAGTTGTTCGTTGATCGTCAGCGCAAAATTATTTTTGGGCTTTAGCTTCTTCTCCTAGCTTCAATCTTCTTTAGACTTCGAGTTTCAGGCCTTCTTCTCATGAGAGAGGTGAGATTTTATTTATAGAATTTGAATCCCGATGTAAATAAGGAATGAATTTGAACATTCTAATTGGACGCATAAGAGGTTTTTCCTCAATTAGACAACGTTCAACAGACATTTATTAGTATCTTAATGATGTTAAAATTGAGTGATCTTGAGCTCGTTGGATTCGTATTGTCGAGAGGCTCAACTCAACAATAAGCTAACCAGATTTGACATCTACTCAATCTCTTAAATATGACTGGAAAACTTCGAAAAATAGTTTAATGGCTTGATCCAAACTTAATTTGATTCGGATTTAACCAAACCATTGGGTTTGTTTTGCTGGGCTGGTTACTTTGACTATAAATTTATTGAAATCGGGGTTATGGACGACTTTTTAATGAAATTTTGAATGTTTGCTCGATCAAAAAATTGCATCAAGAACCGTGCATTTATCAAGATTCGAGCAAGAAGATTAAAATTTGTTGGAAGTATATCAGTAATAAAATTTTACTTAAAAATATTTTAAACTTATGAAAATTTTAAATATATTTAAATTATTTCAATTTTTTTTATGAAACTATTCTCCGACCACCTTCGATCTTAAAAAAATTATTTAGAAATATCTCGATACAATTTTGAACATTTTTTTAATAAATTAATTAAAAATTAAAATATGATTAATTCGAATTTTTTCTTTGAAAATCAATTGGAATTTTATTAGTAACTCAACATTAGCTAAAAAAAATTTTCAGGCTTATGTGAATAGTACATGAGGGCAATCTTTAAAAATCGGACTAACTTATTGCAAGTTCGGAGTCTATCAATTTTTAGAATTAAAATCTATTTTTGATTAATTATAAACTTTAACTAAGAGAATACTAATTACATTAGATGGAATGTCAAATTAAGACCCTAATCACAATAAATAAAAATGTTTTAACTATTGATTAACAAATATATTTGATTTTAAGCCGATTTTTTACTATTTCTAGTTTATATTTTTCTACAAATGCTCATGCTTAATGGGACTAAATGATTACCAAAAGATGAATCTAATCTATTTTGATTATAGGTGCAAATGTCATACACTTATTCCCCCAAAGCATGGCCCGCAATATTAGGGCATGAATGGCTATGTAATTAATTTAATTGTATGAATGTGGTTCTAAGATTCTTTTGATCTAGATATATGTATAAGGAGTAAAATATCTCTGATTCACAATAATCACGTAAGAAAACATTTAGGAAATCATGATCAACACGAAACCTGAATCACAGAGGAACGAACTTCAGTAATCTTGAAGGAAGTCTCCAGATCTTTTCCGATTATTCATTTTCTTTTGCTCGTGATTTTTTTTTTTTTGTTAGAATAGAAACACAGACATATAAAATAAATGATTCAATGAATTCATCAAAATATGTTGCTACATTTTAATTGTCTCAAATTTTAAATCTTTGCATTTAATTTATATTTTAGGGAAATGAAATGAAATTTTGTCTCTTTTTATGCTTATTTTGAACATTTAATGATTTTAGTCACTAATTTAATTTATTACATGTATGCTGTAAAGATTAAAATAAAAATGGGCCGATAAATAAGCTACCAAGCGCCGCTAAATTATTACATATAAGTAAGATTATTAATTATTTATAAGATGATTGCTAATCCAAATATGTAAGCCTTCACCACAGTGATCAAAGTCAATTGGTCACACAATTCTGCAATAGCTTCTAAATGATTTGCATTAATTTGAAAGATTGCAATTACAATTATAACAATGAACAAATATAACTAATTTTGTTATCTATATATTGATTTATTTGCAATAGTATAAAAACGAATTTATCTTCACTTTAGAAAAGAAAATATTACGTCTGGTAAAACGAATGTGCAAAGGCATGAATCGCATCACGACTACTCCCTCGTCTGTATGACCGGACGACAGATGTAATATTTTCTCCCACTTTAGGCATGTTGGACATCTAGCTTGACGATGTTGTCTCAAATTACCTATTAGATATGACACGTATGGATGATTTTCTTTTGAGACTCATCTCATATACATAAATACATCATTATCTTTTAAAGTTTCAGAATATCTCTTACTTAAAAATAACTGTTGAAATTCAAAATAATGTGAAATAAAGTGGAATACTTCATATTGTTTCATTGATATGAACGGAGGAATAAATAACTCTTACAAGAATTCTGTAATATGAAAAATAATAAAAAAGAAACGATATGAAAGGAAAGATATATCACATGATATCTCTAATAATTAATTCATATTAATTATTAGAAGTGATACGCCACCAACAAATCATCATAATCCAGCACGAATCTCGATGCAATATTTTGAGCACGAACATTCAAACTTCGATTGCGAGTCATCCGGAACTCCGATTTCAGCAAAATTATAGTCAAACTGATTGGCTCGATGAAACGGACCTAATGATATAAAAGTTAGTCCAATCCGAGTCAAATCA